CATCACTGTTGTTTGGCGGGCCCGGGCTGGGGATTCAAACCCACCACCTTAGGTGTATGTGGCTGGCGCCTTAGCCGCTTGAGCCACAGGCGCCGAGCCTGGAAATTGAAATTTTGAGTGCCAAATGAATTGCTTAGTGTATAAAACCTTATTAAGTATTAAAATAGGAATTTAGATTTAAATGAAACTCTGTTTCAAAAAATCTGTTTTATCTGTATCTGCTGTGTTCTAAGCACTGTGGTTAGCACTGGAGACATATAGATAGGGCAGATCTTGTTCACTCTGGCTTGAAGTTAGTGGTAGAGAACACCCACTGGGAAAAATGAGTAAGTGCAATGGTGCCCCATTGAAGGGCCCCGTAGCTCAGACATTTTTGAGGAAGTGACACAAATCTTGAGGAATTACAGAAGTTAGCCAGAATGAGTCTGATTAGGGAATGTGAAGAGAGATGTTGAGGTAGAAAGAACAATCAAGGAGGCCTGAAACACACTGGTGTCATTTGGGAAGTGCTAGGAGTTCTGTTGTCTGTACTGTGCTGGGCTGCCCGTGAGAAGAAGCAGGATGTGAAACCAGAGAGGCAGACAGCATACTTGAAATTGGGAAGTTTGAGCTTCAACAAAAAATGGTTTCAGGATGCCGAAAAGGGAATTTAAATAGGTGCAGACAAAGTCAGATTTACCAAAGTTGAGTCTTAGTTCTTGGACTTTTTAGCTATGGAATCATAGTCAAATTACTTTTTGTGAGCCCCACTTGCCTCTTATGTGAAAAGGAGATAACCTTTAATTTGCAGGTAGTTAGCAAGACTAAGAAAAAGAAATGTAAATAAAGCACCCAGTGTACACCAAACCTGTAAGTACTCAGTAATGGAACATGAATTAGAAGAAATACAGTTCTCTACACATATTCTAAGCTAAGTAGAACTGAAAAAAAATGAGTTAAATCTTATTTTAACAGAGTATTGGAACATTTAGCCATTTCTAAAATAGCTGAAATGGTTTTATAATTTTACATGTTTAATATTTGGTAATCTTTTGTGTAGCATTTCTTAATATCCTTGTTTGAAACCAAGACTTTATGTATAAGATATGGTTGTCATGTTGTAGAGACTGACACAAATTAGACCCTGTGAAGAATTAGTTTTGTTTGCATTATTATTTATTTATTTTTATTAAATCATAGCTGTGTACATTAATGCAATCATGGGGTACAATGTGCTAGTTTTACATACAATTTGAAATGCTTTCATCAAACTGGTTAACATAGTCTTCATGGCATTTTCTTAGTTATTGTGTTAAGACATTTATAGTCTACATGTTTGCATTACGTTGTACTATGCCCATCCCCCAACACTCTGGCCTGGGAATGAATTCTTATTTCTCAGACTTGGACCTATCATTTGCTAACATTCAGGCAAATTACTGACCCATTTAGGTGTTTTTTAATATTAAAATGATACCTAATTTAGTTTTAGAGAGTAAAATGAAATAGTATGTGGATGCACTTTTAGAAGTGTCTTAGCTTGAGAGGCCATAACAAAATACAGCTGACCCTTGAACAACAGGAGTTTGATCTGCCTGGATCCACTCGTGTGGATTTTCTTCTGCCTCTGCTGAGCCTCTTCTTCAACATATGCAATGTGAAGATGAGGATAAAAACCTTTATGATGATACACTTCCACTTAACCAGTAGTAAATGTATTTTCTCCTCTTTATGATTTTTCTTAATAACATTTTCTTTTCTCTTTATTATAAGCATATACTCATACATATAACAATAAAATGTATTAATTCACTATTCATAATATTGGTAAGGCACCCTGTCAGCAGTAGGCTATTAGTAGTTTTTCGGAAATGAAAAATTATGCAAATTTTCAACTGTGGGGTGGGGTCAGCTCTCTGAACCCCACAATAGTGGATTGTTCAATAGGAAACTGAACCGATGACTGGGTGATGTAAAGACATTTTTTGCTCATGGTTCTGGAGGCTGAGAAGTCCAAAATCAAGGTGCTCCTGATCCAGTTCCTGGTAAGGGCTCTCTTTTTGTCTTGAGGATGGCTGTCTTCTCACTATAATCCTCATGGGTCCTGTTCTTTGAGTCCCATTGTAGGGCAGGGGCAGAAAACTAAAGCATAAGTGCACGTGCCCTCCAGTGTCTCTTGTAAGGATGCTAAGCCTATAGGATAAGAGCCTCATCCTTGTGACTTCATGTAGCCTTAATTACTTCCTTACTCCAGATACAGCAGGACTCGGGGTAGGGCTTAAACATACAAGAATTTTGGAAGGACATACATATGCATTCAGTCTATAACACAAAATGAAGTTGGGAGTACTCTCTTTTGACCTATGGCTTTATGACTTAGTATTTTGTAACAATGAGCTAATACAAGGCATGTATTACATATATTTTAGTACTTTTCAGAGTCACAGGTATATATGGACCGTTTGAATTCATACTCTGTAGCTAGTAATATTTATAATTGAGTAGCTACAGAAGTTGTTTTATAGCCAAGTTAGCAAAGAACTCAGGATATTACTGTGCCTAAGATAATTACAAAACTTAATAGCTATTCTAATAGTGTAACCACTTCTTTGAATTTCTCCCCCTCTCATTCTAGGCTCAAATATAGTTTTGTTTCCATAGAAAATGTCTACAGATTTCACAATAACTAAAAAAATCATACTTAATTTTGAGGAATATACTTTTTTTTTTTGAGACAGAATGTCACTGTGTCACCCTCGGTAGAGTGCTGTGGCATCACAGTTTACAGCAACCTCAAATTCTGGGCCTTAAGCGATTCTCTTGCCTCAGATTCCCAAGTAGCTAGGATTACAGGCACCTACCACAACACCTGGCTATTTTTTGTTTACAGTTGTCATTGTTGTTTAGCTGGCTTGGACTGGGTTCAAACCCACCAGCCTGGGTGTATGTGGCCAGTGCCCTACCCACCGAGCTACGGGCACTGCTCTTAAATATACTTTTTTACTTATTAGAATAAGTGTTTTAATTATTGTGTTAAGGTCACACGGTTTTTAAGAATGGCTAAACCAAACCTCAGTTTTACATAGCAGATTCTGGAATAAAGATGGAAGCCTTAACTTCAGGGTATCAGTGCCTTCCTTTTCTTTATTGTGAGTCTCAGTATGAATTTTGAATTCCTTCTGAGTCTATTTGCATTTCAGACTGTGATGGAAGGTCTTTCACCTGGTTTCCCAGAATGATCACACTTATGTTCTTTTTATGTTCTTTTTCACAGGCCAGCCCTCCAGATCTCTATATTGAAAGATTTAATATAGCTCTTGGGCAATACATGGGAGCATTGCAGAGCATTGTGCCTCTTTTCATATACATGGTAAGTTAGAGCTGTTGCCTCCTTTCCAAATACCTGGGTAGATTGATCTAAGCACACACAGGTGTAGAAAGTTAAGTAGGTTCTATTTTTCATTTACTGTATTTTGTGTTAGAAATGGAAATTGTTATTTCCATAGTTGTTGAAATACAAGAATTTAGTATTTTTCTCTTTTTTGTTTTTAAATTATTTATGTAAGAATTGCTGAATGGGCACGTAATAATGATCAGCAATCACCCAGCGAGCTTTTATTTTATTTCTGCAGTGAGTGTTCTAAAGGCACTGTGTGTGATCCTAGCAAAATGAAGATATATTAATAAGATTTCTCATCCTCCAAATGTTAAGGCATGCCTCTAAAATATGATGTATAATAAATGCCAGTTAAGTTGTTCCATGAAAAATAGAACACTGTGATATTTCTTCCATTCTGATGATCTCTTTCTTGTATTTAGAGAATTACACTTTGAGTTTAATTTGTAGACTTTGTTGATTTGCTTCCTCCCCATTTTAAATGTACAAAGTCATAGAATCTTAATGTTAGTGCTCCTGTTGAATGGAGAGGCTGTTAGAAACCATCCCAATTCTCTTTGTTTATTAGATTAGGGAATAGGATGCTTATGTGGATCCTATTTTCTATAGCATATAGATTGCTATATGTGGAGAACTATGTTAAAAATGATTTAATCTCCATAAAATGCACTTTACTTACAAAAAAATTTACCTCTACCTTTAACATAGAGGGCATGTTCCAAAAGATCATGTGATTTTGTTTCCACTTATTATTCCTTGGATACTGATAACAATTTTGGTAATGAGTTTTCTAGTTAAAATAGTGTAAGAGGCTGGGTGCAGTGACTGATGCCTGTAATCCTGGCACTTTGGGGGGCCAAGACAGAAGAATTGCTTGAGGTCAGGAGGAGTTTGAGCCCAGCCTAAGCAAGAGTAAGACTTTTTCTCTGCCAAAAATAGAAAAAAGTTAGTTGTGCTTGATTGTGCATGCCTGTAGTCCCCGCTATTTGGGAAGCTAAGACAGGAGGATGCTTGGGTCCAGCAGTGAGCTATGATGAAGCCAATGCACTCTACATAGGATCATAGGGTGAGACTCTGTCTCAAAAAAAAAAAAAAATTAAAGGCAGAAGAAACCAGGTTTTTCCTTGTCTTTTACTAAGACTTATCTTAGAAGAAATTGATAGTAAGGCCTTTCTTTTGATTTAAGTGTCAGTATTCCTTCATGACTCAAGAAACTAGTGAAAAATACTATTGATATTAGAAATAAGTTCATCAGAATCAGCAGGTTTAATTAACTCTCTTGGAAAGGCTTAGGAAACCTAGGAGGTAGCCACCATAATATAATTTAGGTGAAATGGTCTCATAGTTTATTCATCAGTATGTTAGGTCTAAGTATCTTGTACTCACAGAGGAAATATTTTACTTTCATTCTAGCAAACTCCTTACTCTTGATGTATTAAAGTTTTTAATGGAGACTGAATGGAGCTGAAGAATAGGGCCTATTTGTGGATGAGTGTGTAAAGGGAGGGTAAATAGGTTTCAAACTTCCATGCCTACCTTTTTTGTTGTTGTTGTTTGTTTTTTGAGATGGAGTCTCACTATGTCACCCTCAGTAGAGAGCTGTGGTGTCACAGCTCACAGCAACCTCCAACTCTTGGGCTTAAGCGATTCTCTTGCTTCAGCCCCCCAAGTAGTTTGGACTATAGGTGCCTGCCACAACACCCGGCTATTTTTTGTTGCAGTTGTCGTTGTTGTTTAGCAGGCCTGGGCTGGGTTCAAACCCATCAGCCTCGGTGTATGTGGCCTGTGCCCTAACCACTGAGCTACGTGCGCTGAGCCCGTGTCTCCCATGTTAATGGCATTTACCCGTAAGCATATTGGCTGGGTGCATTAGTATTTTCTAACTTATCATGACTTGGATTTTGAGTCAAAACATGTTTTAGCTATTCATAAATAATTTATAAAAAATTAGAGTAAACAATAAGGGGAAGTCATTTTACGCTTTTCTGTAGTGCCACTTTCTTAAACTTCTTGGTCAGATCTTGGGGTTTAAAAAGTCTGTATCATTTAAGAATAAGTAAACTTTAAATTTATTCTTCCAGCTTGCAAAATTCAAGTAAGGGGTCTTAGGTTGTAAAGTAAAGCTTACTCTTCTTTTCTCACATGTGTGAGGGCAGAAACTTGTTTGTTTTTTTAGACAAGAGTCTCATTATGTTGCTCTCGGTAGAGTGCTGTAGTGTCACAGCTCACAGCAACCTCCAACTCTTGGGCTTAAGCAATTCCCTTGCCTCAGCCTCCCACGTAGCTAGGACTACAGGTGCCTGCCACAACGCCTGGCTATTTTTTGTTGTAGTTTGTCATTGTTTACATGGCTTTGGCTGGGCTCGAACCTACCAGCCTCCGTGTATGCGACTGGTGCTATGGGCACTGAGCTGGAGATACTTTCCTTATAGTTTAAGAGCTTGAATTTGTTCTGTAGTTACTTGTAAAAATTTGTTCATAAATTGTTTTTATTGTCTAGAAGATAGAAATTCTTCCAGCTTTAGTATTTCTTTGTTGGAAAAGTATATTATTTAAAGAAAATTTGAAATGTTAACCTATTAAGGCCATAATCAGCAAAAGCTTTTTTCCAACAAAGAATATAAACAGAATTTTTTTTAAACATTACCAGTTAGTTAAACTTAATTTATTACTTTACTTAGTATCTTTGTTATAAGTCTGTCTACATGAATATTTTAAGAAAGCAATCATTAAACTTGAAAAGAAATTATGTCTAAGATCCTAAGTTAGCAGAAAAGATTTTTGTAAGACACAGAGGTCAAATAAAGACTTTATGTCTTTTTGTTTAGAATTTTGAAATTTAACATTATTGTACCTGAGAAAAAGTTTAATGCCCTCTGTTTAAAGAGGACAGGGAGTTTCTAAGAGGTAAAGTGAGAGTTTCTAAGTACTTTAGAAGCTTTCAGACTATTTCTATTTAATGAATTCTGGTTATTTATAATTATGAGTAGGAAGGACACATTAAAATGTTGGGTGCTAAGATTTTAAATGTTAAATAGGACAGTCTACCAGGAAAGAAATGCATTATAAATGCAGAAGAATTTCCCTTGGGAGTTTAACATTTATCTTTTATTCTCATGTCTAAACAACAAAATTTCAAAGAGATGGCTAATTTGTTTCAGAGACTTTATAATGCTAAGTCAACTTTTTAAAATTTAAATTTGATTTAAAAATATCAGTTGCAGAAGAAGCTTGGTAGTTGAAATGTTTATTAATTTAATTTAAAAATAAATTTTCTTTAGATGACTTCTAAAGAGATAAAGACATTTTTAGAAATGAAATGTGGCAGACAGTTAATCTCTTATGATAAAATTCACTTGGGGGAAATAAAAACCCTAATGATAAGAAAAACTGCTATAAAAGACAAATGAGAAGAGGTGACAGGCCCTACCAGATACTAAAATGAGGAAGACTAGAGTAATTAAAAGTGTTTGTCATTGGTGGAAGGATAGACAGATCAAAGAAACAGAACCTGGAGGTAGACTGAAGTAAATGTAGGAAGTTGAGTAAAAAAGATGACATTTCAAATCAGTAAGGAAGGAAGAGATTATTCCACAGCTGGTATTAGGACAACTAGTAGTCATTTTGGAGTTGAGAGTAGAAGAATCTGATCACTACCGTATTTTTTATAACAAATTGTAAGTAGAGTAAGTTTTGAAAAACAATTCGAGAGAACTAGTCTTGGAGTGAAAAAAGCTTTCTCCAAGTGAAATCCAAACTTAAAAGTCATGAAAGAATGACTGTGACAGTGTGTAAAAATCTTGTATAGCAAGATCTCATACACCAGGAGTAGGTGGGGAAGAATTGCAGTAAATTTGAAAAACATAAGACAAAGGTTTGCTTTCCTTGATAAGTTTTCCTGAATTAATTAGGAAAATATCAACAGCCTTATTTTTTTGTTGAAGAATGGACAAGTGATACAAATAAGTTAAAATACTTTTTTAAAAAAACTTTTTCAGTTGGTAAAATTGAAAAGATTTGGCAATATTCAGTTCTGGTGAATCTGTAGAAAAAAAAACTCTACACTTGCTGGAAATATAAATTGGTGAAACTTTTTGGAAGACTATCTGACAATATTGTTGAGAGTTGAAAATGCACAAACTGGGTGGTGCCTGTGCTCAGTGAGTAGGGCACCGGCCCCATATACCGAGGGTGACGTGTTCAATCCGGCCCCTGTCAAACTGCAACAAAAAATAGCTGGGTATTGTGGCGGGCACCTGTAGTCCCAGCTACTTGGGAGGCCGAGGCAAGAGAATCACCTAAGCCCAAGAGCTGGAGGTTGCTGTGACCTGTGATGCCGTGGTACTCTACCAAGGGCAACAAAGTGAGACTCAGTCTCTTAAAGAAAAGAAAAGAAAAATGCACAAACTTTGACTCAGGAATTATATCTGTAGGAATTTATCATACAAATAAACTCTTAAATACATGCAAATATATAAGTAAGAATTATGCAGTATTTTTAATAGCAAAACATTGGGGAAAATCTTTGTTACCAGTAGGGGACTGTAATTTAAATAATTCATGGAAAACACAGTAGAAAAATGTGCAATTAAAAATAATAACCTTTTTTTTTTTTTAGAGAAAAATCTTTTAAGATTTCATATTCAGTAAAAAAATAGTGTACAAAGCCATAGTATGTAATATTTCTTCATTAGTGAGTGTTTTTTTTTAAAGGAATAAAAAAGCCATATTCACATATGTGCAGGGAACATTTTAGAAAGAATATAAACAAGTTCTTCCAATGTAGAATGGGACCTTCAGGAATGGGACAGAGGGTCTGGTCTGTGTTAGGAAATTTCTTTCTATGCATACCCTTTTGCTGCTTGCTTTTTATTTTATTACCAACTACATCTTATTTTTATAATTTCTTTTTTTTTTTTTTTTTTGACAGAGTCTCTCTCGGTCACCCTCCTTAGGTACGGTGGCCTCACAGCTCACAGCAACCTCCAACTCTTGGGCTTAAGCGATTCTCTTTGCCTTAGCCTCCCAAGTAGCTGAGACTACAGGTGCCCGCCACAACGCCTGGCTATTTTTTTTGTTGTAGTTGTCATTGTAGTTTAGCAGGCCCAGGCCAGGTTTGAACCTGCCAGTTCAGTGTATGTGACTGGCACCCTAGCCACTGCACTATGGGCAGCAAGCCTATTTTTATAATTTCTTAGAAAAAACTTAACATTAGAAATTAAGAGAATCAAGGAGCAACTTGCTACTACCCCTTGCATTGAATTAACATTTAACATGAGCAAATTCAATCTTTTTAACTTTCCATTCGTTCTAGTCAAGGTGCTTTTGACTGCAAGAAATAGAAACTATGATTCAAAGTGATTAAGGAAAAGAGTATTATCTTCTGTAGTACAACTCTAGAAATAAGGCTGTCTCCAGCATTGGTTGAATCAGTGGTTCAACAGTGGTACCAAGGATTCAGGTTCCTCTTTGTCTCTTTGCTTTGTTTTATCTTGTTCTCTTCGTAGTTATAAGATGACCATAAGAAACTTTTCTCTCAAGCCTAGGTTTCTGTGACTGGGCTGCCTTGAGTGTCTACCTCTGAAACAAAGATGGTGGTCCCTAGGGAATGCTATAAACACTGGACTTGTTATTGAAGTTGAATGTGTGGTTGGGAGTCAACCAGTAAATGCTTACTGCCTGCTTTCAGCCCATATCATGTAAATGGTGTACCTTTTATTAGATGTGTTTTTAAAGGATATGCCACACCAGTATAGTTCCATAATGTCTGTACATTCATCTAGTTTTTATACTTTCAACACCGTGCCAGAAAGACATGCAACTAATAGTGACAGGGCTTGTGCTTTCTTTGTTTTAATTGGTGCTTTTATTTATTGTTTCCTAAAATAATAATGCACTGCTTCAGTTCAGTAGACTAATCATTTCCCCCAATTGCTACATGAAAATGAAATTTATTTTCTTTTTCAGAATAAGTTTTACATCGAAACCAAGCTTAACAGAGACTTAAAAGATGACCTTATAAAGCTGTTTACGGAGCATGTTGCAGAAAAGCACATTTACAGCCTAATGCGTAAGTAATAATTCAACTTAATATAAGAGTGAAGTAATATTATCCGTGCTCTTTTTCCTTTTTTCTCTTTATTTCATCTGAGAACATGGTCACATAAACCCGAATGCTGGCATCTTCTGAACCAGGTACTAAGAAGTGTTGGAACCTGCAATACTGTTCTATAAGGAGAGACACTGAGGAACTGAAAATGTGACTTGACGGTCACTCAGTGAGCTCGAGCAGTTTAGCCAGGTCTGGGCTGATGCTTGTGATCTTTTTTTTCCCTCCCTGACAATGGGGGATATGTTATTAGAAAATTCGCTCCTAACTTTATTACCAGTAACTTTGAAAGGAGTGCAGTGTTACATCTTTGAAATGGTAGTAGAGAATCCTCCCTCATTTTTACTGTTTAATTTCGAAGTCCTTCTCTATTCTAACTCCTTCATTTACTAAATACGTATTTTAGGCAAGCTTTTTTTTGCTTCTGTAGTCCTGCATTTTGTCTCTTCTGTGAGTTAGGATCTGTAAAATACGTTAACGTGGTATCAAAGTACCAAGCTCAGTTTCTGCTTTCTCCCCATTGTCAAGTCCTCTGCACCTTCATAGTAGATGACATTTCATCCTGCTTTTCTTAAAATAATACACTTTTCCAGATAGAGTTTAAGTCTCTGTACCTATCTAAACATCCTTTAAAAGCTCATATCTTGTATAGAAATCAAGTCATGTTTTAGAAGTTGGCATATATTTGGATTTGCAATATATATTTTTGTTTTCCTATGTATCACAATGAAATTATGCTAGCATTTATAAAAGAATTGTTATAAGCTTGACCACAAGCTATTTTCATTTTAGATTAAGAGAAAGAATTATTAAACATTGGGCCAGTTTATTTTAGAAAGGCAAGGTTTTCAAATAATAGTATAGTTGAAGATAATATATGTATGTGTTTCATTATTATGTTCCCACGAGATTTTAGCATCAGAATAAGGGCCTAGGATCTTGAGAATATGACATGTTTCTTTCTTTTTTTTTTCTTTTTTAAGGTTGGAAAGATGTTTACAAACATTTTCAAATATTATCTTATGAGATATTCCAGCTAATATTTAAAATTCCTTAAGTGTTTTCTTTAATGGTGATTTTGTTTGTTTGTTTTGCTTTCACTACAAAATAAAGAGCAGCATTTTGAAGTTTTCCTTTCAAAAATCTATAGAGAAATACAACCATCTGATAAAAAAGGCTATTTATTTTGTAAATATATTTTTATATTTACCAGCAATTTGGAAATCAATTTATTGGATGTATACAAAGAGAATATTCAAAAGAATATAGTAGCCCAGATCTGGTAAGGGAAAACATAAACAGATTACTTCTTCCCTTTATCATATAGTCTGGTTTTCAATAAAAATTACACTTAAAGATTGAAAGTACATTTCCTTTTCCAAGTAAACTTAAATTTTTGTGAATTGAATAAACTGAGTTTATCACATTCATTGAACCATTATCAGACATTGTACTTAAGGGTAAGGGATACAAAAAGTGACCAGTAGTCTTGTTGGTGGGGGCTTTAAAATAAGGAACTCCAGGCTCGGCACCTGTGGCTCAAGTCGCTAAGGTGTCAGCCACATACACCTAAGCTGATGGGTTCGAATCCAGCCTGGGTCTGCCAAACCACAATAACGGCTGCAACCAAAGAATAGCCGGGCGTTGTGGCAGGCGCCTGTAGTCCCAGCTACTTGGGAGGCTGAGGCAAGAGAATCGCTTGAGCCCAGGAGTTCAAGGTTGCTG